ACTTTCTTGACCATGGTTTCCTTCTGAAAAATAACAACGGTATGAATTATTTAAAAACATTAAAACATTTAATTTAAGTTAACATTTCTTTTTTACAAAGGTGAAAAGTATATAGGGAAATTTTTATTAGAAGAACTATTAAAAATCCAAGATAAAGGTCAAAATGATTTGAAATTTACCTTTAAAGTTAGTGATTTTCATATAAATGTTAGTGGTACACAGCGACAAAAAGTTAAGACAGCAGCCCAACTTTTCTCCAGGACAGTATCAAAAGCTATGGAATATTATGGATTCAATAACAAATTCCAACTATCAAACTGGAAAGAAGTATTATACAGTAAACAAATTAATTTAAAACTATTTTAATTATCTTTTAATTTTTAAAGGCTGCAGAAACTATACTTCTAATCAACGATTGGTTTGACTTGCTCAACAGCCAAAATATGGTTGGAGATAACTCTATGGCCTATGGTATGAATATTGTAGAACAAAACAATTTATTGGATAGAATGGATAAATTTATTCTATCAATGCGGGTACATGGAAAAAAAAGCCTCATGCAGTTTCAAAAAGGTATTGTAATGACAAACTTGTCCTTAAGAAGATTGTTAAATGACCTGCAACAAAATTACAAAGGACAGTATATAATTTCACGCCGTGTAAACCAAGATGTATTAGAGAATTTTTTTAGTTTTATAAGAGGAATGGGTGGGTCGAATGACCATCCAAATCCTTTAGACTTTAAGTATCGGTAAGTAGTACATTAATCTGTTTGTTAATAAAAATACCTTCTTCTTCTCTTTTTCTTATGCTTATAGCTTATATTGATTCACTGCTGTTCTATATTAGATTTTGAACTTCTATTCTATGTAGAAATTACTAATAATTAATAGACTAATAGACTTGTAAGTATTGATCTGCTATTGTGTGCTATTCATATCTGTAAAATAAAAATAAAATTTATTATTACCTAATTAATTCTGATTTGATATTATGTACCTGTTACAAAATTAACAATAATAATGTTGTATTCATTTTTTGCATACCAAGATTAAGATGGTATATACTGGGCAAACACTCATCATCGGTATTCACAACTAACCGCAACACAGAAGAAAGTGCTAATGAAAATAGTTTGTTGAGTTTAAGTGATATTGTTGAAGTAGATGAGTGTATACTGACGGCTGCTGTTATTGAAGATTCCAGAGTATTTGCCAAAGAAGATTATGATAACAATTTAACAATTGATGATCAGAGCACTAAATTATTAAATTCATTTGAGTTAGAGGTAAGAGTGTTAAAAAGCCATTGATTACCTACTTACTAAATAATATCATATTTTATATATTTGATTTTTAGTTAAGTGCCGTGGAATTATTTAGCCATAATTTCAATGATTCAACTGAAGAAAATTTGAAGTACGTAGCGGGATCAGTTGCAAGAAAGTACAAATCAAAGTATCCATATTTGGAAGATGAGACCAAATGTCCTGTAGAAAAAAAAGATGACTGGATATCATACATTTCAAAAGGTAGTTAAATGTTGAATTATAAATATCAGCCAATTCAGGAAAATTCATAATTTAAGTATATTCAATGGTTATAGGATATCTTACACGCCCATCACAAGATTTGATCAATGTGGCCAAGATACTTGAAAGTGTATTTGATGAAGGTTTTGGTACACAGACTGGAATAGTAAAAAAATTGTTTAACACGGTTAACAATAAAATTCCAAAAGACTGCATTCCTCCAGAAGTGATTGAATGCCTTATTCGTACTCGCTTGTATATTCGTCTGCGAGAACTAAATAAAAAAGAACAAAAAAAAACAGTATTTTACAATAACAAAAAAATTAAAAAATTTACAGAATGAACAATGAAATTAATAAAACTATTGACTATTGGAATATCATTTTTATATACCTATAACAGTTTATTCTATAACTAATTATCATACTAAATAATAAATACTAACTGACTATAAAAAATTTAAATATAAAATGTAATTAACTAATAAGTGTTATAATAGTATATTATAATCATGACTAAATTACTTTATTTAGTCATGAATCATGATCATAATTATGAAATTTTGAATAGGTAATAATTGATAATATCATTGTGGATTACTTTCCACTCCATGTATCTGATATCGTATATGCCATGACTG